CTCACTTATTATCGATGGATATTTATTAATTTAGTCCTCTTTGAGCATAAAATAATCAATAAATATATTAAGACTGGTCTCAAACCTGTAAAATGATTTACTACTGGGAAAAATAATTAGAGACCCTGTGTTTTACCACAACTACATCCAAACGTAAAAAACCACAGAGTAAAAATATAGATTATTGATACACCAACGTATAGAGACAAGGGTTACTTTTGTTTTTTCATAGTTGGAATACGATTTGATAATGATTGGAGTGCTCAATTCGTTGATTGGAATCGAAGTAGATTGCCTCTTTTTTACACGTGTTCAAGCAAGGGAGTTTGATTTGGTGGTAAATAGAGCATACACAGAGTGACTATTTTGTTTGGACTAATATTGCTTGGGTAGCTATTTTCCCCCCTACATTTTTGTGCCAGCAGAAAATATAATTTTTCTAAATTCTATCAATATTTCACAAGATGGCGATAAACATAAAAATTATGAATGCAAATCCAAAAATTATAAAAATTTTGATTCAAAAACGGTTGTAACATCCATACATTCTATGTTAGTTTGAATGAATCAGAAACCAAGATTCAATTTTAATCTGTATCGGCGATCGATCCGTTTCCTTTATTTTCATTGAATACAGGGGAGAAATCTTGTACTGTTGATAAAAATCGTCACGGCCAATCAAAAAATGAATAATAAAACATGCAAAAATAACCAAAAACCTATTGATATAAAAAACGATATTCCATCTTTAATATTCCTTCTAAACTTCTTGATTGGATTTTTTCACATATTTGAGTTTGGAATTAACATTTCATATTTAGACCTTTTTCAGTAGAAAAATAACAAACACACCTACCTAGTGATCAATATGAAATAGACACGCTGTCTATGAGTAAACGTGTAAAATATATTTTAAATAGGGTAATAAAAAATACGTGTCTCAATAATGAAAAGAAAGTTTAAAAATATTATTATGATGATGTTACGAGGTCGTATAGGGTTGCATTTGCTGCGATCATTCATATTGGCCAGATATTGATATGGATATGTTTAAAGCTGCCGAGCAACGCGATGACGTCATCGGTATTCCATTCCAAGCTAATGATTGATTCCTTTTATATGCACTCGCAGTATCAAGTATGCAATTTAAAAACAACGTTTGTTTATTCAATACAATGTGGAAAATCTCGTTTGCAAACAATTTAATCTCAATCAAAATCGATTCTGGATCTACATACCACTTGTTTTAGGGTATCAACAAACTATGCTACCTACGTTTAAGTTAGTAGTATGGAGACCAGAGTTTGGACCATACAGTGGTGCAAATGTTTAAAATTCTAAAGGCGCATAAAACACAAATAGTTATGAATCATTCACCATTCTCTATAACACAGCCTTCGAGGGGAACTACTTCCCTTCGTCCTCACACAAGCACTGCAGAAAACACGAATATTAACCAATTTGATAGCCAAGGTTTCGCTGGTCCTGTAATCAGTAGGATAATACCACTGCAGCTAAGGTATTATTGAGTATCGCCTTGTATCGAACGCGGTCGCGGATCGCGGAACAAACCAAAAACCGGTTGACCTTGGCGAGCGCAACTCCACTCCGACGAGACGCCGCGCGCCGACCCGGACCATCCGGCTCTCAACACGGACGGCGGAGTATTTATAAAGCGCTGGGGACAACAGTAGCCAGAAATAACTGGCTGGCATTTATAATTGCCAGATTAAGTCACAATATGATATTCGTGTACTAAAGTATGGGGAGTATGGGGAAAACAGATAGTTAAAAAACTTGACGTCCACTTAAACATTTTGATTCCTACATCTTTCCATTTTTAACTTTTCACATCTCCATTCATGATTCGGGCATAGTTAAATGAATTAGGTGGTCAACAAACTTCTTCTTATCGGTAAGTTTACATTTCTTTTCCTTCTCAAATCTGCGTTATTTAATAAGTCTTGCCGGGCTTGAAAAAGTTCCAGAGAGCCAAGCGATAATCCTCCAGCCAAAGGAAAGTATGAAATCGTATAGGGCCTACATCTCATATTTAGGTTTCCTTCCAAATTAATTATTAGGGTAATTGTACATAGTGTGTTCGAATAAAGATCAACATTTGAATATCATAGCGTGCACTGGTATTTTAATTCTCTCCGAATACTCATCCGCTTTATGACGTATCGGCAACCAGGATCAACATATTTTAATACCCTGACTATAGCCCTTAAGTGACATAATCACTAATTAATTGGGCCTTATATGTTTAAGGAACGCTGGGACAACCAATTGTAATCAAGTTACTCCAAATAATGTCAGATGATTAAATAGTTTAATCCTACCAAAAAGACGACCGAAATCACTTCAAATAATTGTAACGTGTTTTTAAGCTGGGCATTAATCCAGTCCCTAATTGAAAATGGGTCCAACCTACATCCGGAGGGAAAGGAATGTTGACACCTTAGTAGTAGTAATATCCCATGGTAGTGTCTAAATATCCCACAAGTAGTTATATTACTCGTACTAATGGGCAAAACTGTTGCAAATACATCAAAACTTGTCATTTGCTTTAAATAGGAGTTAAGAATGTATTGCAAGCTGTATGAAAACCTTGATGACTGTACAAGATACACATGTTTAGCTAAGAACAATAAGGAAATACATATTGCAGGCGTACAGCGTGTGATGTATTATCTGTGTTTACATTATCTCTCATACCTGACTGAATAGCAAACAAGGAACATCATACATTAGTCAAGTACAATACAATATCAGTATCACAATAGCAGATATTGCAAGCCTATAAGCGATAAGAGACCATCAAACATTTAGAGAGTACAATACAGTATAATGAAATTACAGTAGTAGTAGATAATGCTGATCTGATCCATATACAGAATGCACATGTTTAGCTTAGAACAACACAGAAACAGCTATTGCAGGCCTAAAAGTTTGTATGTGCTAGTAGTGTTTGCATAATCTATAATACCTGATTACTTATCAAAGATTAGTCAAGTACAACACAGTATCAGTAATACAGTAGCAAACATAATGATCTATCATATCAATGTGCATGTTAGATGGTCAAATGGTGGCCATTTGATCATACTTCAATGTTATCAATGAGTATCATGTGATAAATACAATACAGTGTCAGTAATACCGTAGCAAACATAATGATCTATCATATCAATCTGCATTTTAGATGGTCAAATGGTGGCCATTTGATCATACTTCAATGTTATCAAGGATCATCATGCGATAAATACAATACAGTGTCAGTAATACCGTAGCAAACATAATGATCTATCATATCAATCTGCATTTTAGATGGTCAAATGGTGGCCATTTGATCATACTTCAATGTTATCAATGAGTATCATGTGATAAATACAATACAGTATCAGTAATACCGTAGCAAACATAATGATCTATCATATCAATCTGCATTTTAGATGGTCAAATGGTGGCCATTTGATCATACTTCAATGTTATCAAGGATCATCATGCGATAAATACAATACAGTGTCAGTAATACCGTAGCAAACATAATGATTTATCATCAATCTGAATGTTAAGATGGTTAAATGGCGGCCATTTGATCATACTTCAATGTTATCAAGGACCATCATGCGATAAATACAATACAGTGTCAGTAATACAGTAGCATATTGTAGGCTTAAAAGGGGGCTCGGATATTTTTTCTGTTTCTTTTTGGCTCGGACAGCTAACTTCGCAATGCTGTTTTATTAATATTCAGGAACACGTATTTAAAAAACCATAAGAGATATATTCACGATTCTTGATAATTGGTTTATGTCTTTGTACTTAAGTTTAAAAAAAATGAGTGTTTTGAATTTTTACGGTATTATTTATCTATTGAAAAATATTCCGGTTAAAAAACTAATTGAATTAACTTCAAATTAATTTTTTATCTATCACAACAAACCCCTGTGTTTATCTTGTACATCTGAAAGAGTAAAACAAAACAAACAAACAAATATGAGATGTCTCTTGTAGTTTTTGAGATAGCCTATGTGTTCCTAAAGATCCTAAAGATGGAAATGAAAACCACGATTAAAATTAACTTATCGTGCATTAATTACGCAGAGAAGATCAAATACACAAGGAAGGATGTAAATAGTTTGAGTCTTCGCATTATTTCTTATTCCTGTTAAACAAGTTTCTTATAATATAATAAATACCTTTGTATGTTCAATTTAGTGTTAAACCATAAGAAGTGTTTAATCAGTGTTCGTAAAATTTCTAATACTTCACTAGCAGAGCATTAGATAAAACCAATAAATTAATCGCTACACTCACGAACACCACTCGTTGCAAGAAGAGGCATAAATTGGTTTTGGGTGATTTGGTTTGGAAACAAGCCAGTCTGTGGTAATTGGCAATTAGGAGACAATGTTGAATTGTTGTACAACTTGTAACTAATTGAGGATTTTTTAGATGCACAACCAAACGATACGGAAAATTAATGAACAATGCAAAATAAAGAATAGTACATTTTTTGTTATAATTTTTGAAAAGAACCATCATGAAAAATTCTTAAAAATAAATGGTCGTAATAAGTACAGTAGATCTTACTAAGTTTAGGGTTCACACTTTAAATGCAGCTAGAAAAACGATACAGTAGGCCTACGACTAATTGGGTAAATACAATATAATTTATGAAAATAAAAAATACATGTCCACGCTTTTTGTTTTGGCATACATTTACACATTATCCCCTAATCATATTCCAGTTATGATTCAGAGAGGCGTAAATTCATGTAGTAGATAGCTTGCTTCCACATTTCCATTATGAGATAAGTTAATAATCCCCGTAAGCTTGTACACCGAGTTAGCGTTAGCATACCTCAGTACATAGAACTGGCTGTTACAATACACCATAAGCTGACTAACCCAATAAACAAGCTCATACATAGGTATTGTGATTTACTACTATCTTACGTTTATAATGCTAGTTATGGAAGTTAGCTACTTACATAGTCCTTTTAGGTTCCGAAGTGTCAATTTTTGATCACAAACCTGAAACAATAAACATATTAATTGAAATAAATCTTGTTATGAACTACCTAATTAACATTTTTTGTTCATTTCTTGATGTTTTAATGAGTATTTATACTAACTTCAGCAGTAAAAATAGTCAAATTTTTCCTATCTTTAATTAAATTAAACTGTAACAACTAAAAATAGCGCTTCGTTAATAATGTATGTGATGAGTTACAGAGCGTTTACAGTATATTACGTGTTATTTACACTGATTTGTCAGGCTCCTGTCATAAGTTAAAAATTAAAAAAATCTGTAACCACATTTGATTGGGACTTGGTTCAATAATGCCTGTTATGCGAATTGTTGAAGCAAAGCACCGCATAAAATGGCAAACGTGTTCAAACTTTACACATCAGAACAAATATGAGTGTCAGAAAAAATGTAATATGAGTAAGGATTTCCAATAAGCGAGAAGCCGAGATACAAATATGCATCAAAATAGGCTGCCACTATCTAACATCTACCACAACGTTTTTGTAAACTTATTGCAGTTGAAAATTACATAAATGTTATTGTTTTGCGTATTTCTACATTGCTATGGATTAGAATATAATTTTAGTGCTTGTTTGAGTTTAAGTAATATATTTACAGAAAATACACCGTTGATTATGATGTTGCTAAATAATTTAAAAGAAACTACAAAAAACATGCCTCACAATATCCAGCATCACATACGAATAATGGATTTTAAAAACAATTAAAACTGTTCCTATGCAATAAGGTAATGCCTATTTTTACCATTATTATTATAAGTTCCTTAGTGCATTGATTGCATATTTGTGACACGTCTTGCTGATTTTAAATAGTTTACGAGTTTAGAATGGTCCTTCAGTTATTTTTAAAATGATACTATAATAAACTTATGTTTGACTAAATGAAGATCTGAAGTAATAAGCGTATACAGTATACACAAATCTTCAATTCCAAACATTGAGGACTAATTAAAACTACAGTTAAACCAACAAACATAACATACACGCCACAATTTTGTAATTGATTGACTTCTAAAAACTACAACGTTAAAACGTGATTATCAAAAGCAGTAACAAACGACATTATTCTAGACCGAATCCAAACCCCGAGATTTTCTCATGTTCGCCGATGATTAAAGAAAATAATCAAACGAGTGAATGTAAAGAAACGCTGTAAAGGGATTGAGGGGTTTAATCCAAACCGGACGGTCCGAGCCACGTGGCCACCTCTCATCAAAGTCAAAGCTCTAATTCCGGACGGTGGCGAGGGGGAGGACCAATCAGAAGTCTTGTATCGTCTACTCTACACGACGACAGCAGGCAGAGTAGCTGAGTGAGATAGTAATGCACTGGACCTACAGATACTATATCACACTGAATACATGTAGTTGAGTGAGATACTACTGCTCTGGATCTATAGATAATACGTCAAATCTACTTGAATACACGTATCTGAGTGAGATAATGCACTGGACCTACAGATACTAGATCACATAAATGCCTACTTGAACACATGGAGGTGAGGGGACCTACAGATAATACATCACATTTCCTTGAATCAAGTAGTAGGTGAACGACCATTGGATATTATACGCAGTGGGTGCCGGAATAATAGTGGATAATATAATGGTTATGGATGGATGGAGTAAGGAACGTGACGCTAGTGCCAGACACGAACTAGGCCTACGTTCTCTTAGTTGCGACGGAATCAATGTATTAAAAACTCATTTTATCCCACTATTGTAGATCATTGGTGGAGAAACCGAGCACCAAGTATAGTAATAAGTATGATACACAAGTTACTCTAAAAAAATCATAATTGCAAAAAAAATATTTCCATAATGTTTGGTTTTAAGTTAGAATAACAATCATTAAATACTGTACATTCGTAAAAAAACATAATTAGATGTAACAAAATACGTCGCTCTTTTCGGAAAACGACACACAGAACAGTACATCGATGGGTAATTAATTTTTAGTTGTAAAGTGCACGCATGGCCGAATAGGTTAAATCTCACACATAATATTTCTTAAAAATACCTGGTATTTTTTACTAAGCTAATTTTTACTAAGCTGGTTTTATCATCACATGTGTTAAAAGTAAACTAGTAGGTCACAAGTATTGCGACAAAAACAATGCATATCTCACGGAAGGCTCCTCTGATAAACGAGCGATGTTAGAAAACATGTTTGATTGTCATCCCCATGACGTATGTTATAATACTGGAGTTGTTGTGGTTGTTTGTGGTGTGTATTGAGGTGTATTAGCAGTGTTATTCAAATACTTTTTAACACGTTTTTTTTTTTTTTTTTGACTCTAGTGGATCAGAAAATTCACGAAAATAATGCTCGATTCTAAAGTTTGTCTCATAGCTCTAAACAACATTACAACTAATTAGGGTTTAGTAGTTATAGAGTAATATGGTTATATCGCTGGTGACTTTGTTTTATGGATTATATCGGTCGATAGAAATTGTATATTTTACTTAATAGTAGTATCGTGGTTTGGACAATGCTATAACTTGAGTTAACGGTGAAATGTGAATATCTGAGTATAGTGCCATCAATTATCATACAGGTAGGTCATTAATGGTGCTTGAAGGCTACTTCAGTCGATGGGGACTGAAGTAATACTAGACATCTGTACTTGAGTTGGATAGGACCGCAGACATTTAGTCCAATAATTATTACTATTTGCTTGGATGAAAGATAGTAAGATTATCCATCTCAGAGTTTGATATGATGTCCCAGGGTTTATGGCATTTGTGATGTCTGAACTTGAGTTATAATTGGAATGCCTGTCCCCAAATGAGGTAAGTTGAATAGTATTTCAAACTCAATTATTGTGTTTGCCATAAAATTGTAGGATGCAAGTTCTGGAGTGATTATGGATAATATTTATACTTGAGTTGAAAGTAAAGTGTATCTAACTTAGTTATGAAAACCATATTTGCCATAAAATTAGTAAAAAAGCAGGTATTATTAGTTGGTGTGGATTAAAACTATAATCGATTTTATGGTGACATCTGTATTTAAATTATTAAGGATGTATTTCATATTAAGTTTGGGTAGGATGAATATATGAGTGCCGATAGTATAGATTTACTATTGAGTATTGGAAGGATACCTCAATGTTGATATAGTATACTACATTATAGTATGGTTGATATTATATACTACATTTATATTATTTGCATTCATATGACGGTAAATGTCTATACCGGAGTTGTATCATTAGATCTACCAAAGTTAAATGCATAGCCTTCACGATACTTTTATATAGGGTGTTTTTTTATCATGACCTAAATTACAAGTACCGTAAGACCTTTTTATGGCAGAACAAGCTCACGTGTTGGTATCCCTTTTTTTTACTCCATTGTCAATGAGCTGATGTGCATTGTTGCATTAATATCTATGATTGTTAGCGTTATAATGAATTTATCGTGAATAAGGCTCAAAGAGTTGGAATTATACATTAGTAGTAAATCAATGGTTTCATGCCAAGAAAGGTTTGAAATTAAGATTCTAGGTGTGATTCCAATACCTGGAAAATCAACTAGGGTATTTATACAATTTATTAATTAATTGTAAACATGTTTGGAACCTAGATATGTAATAATGGTTTAATTTACCTCTGTCAATATGGGGTACTGCAACCAGTTTTTAATGTATTGGCCAAGTTCATAAATGTTTTTCGTACCGTTCGTGTGTTATGTGTTTTTTCGGTGCGTTTTCAAAAATTGACGACCTTCACGTGAGGAAAATGTTTTAACTTTTTGTGACCTTCACCTGAAGATGTGCTCCACGAGCACGAAACTGCAGTAGTGACAAACTACGCAAGGACCATATTGACAGAGGTAAATTAAACCATTATTATTGTTGCTGTATGGTCCAGAGGCTACCCATCATGAAACTAGATATGTAGAAATAAGTCATAAATCTACAATACCAAATTGAGACTGAGAAAAATAACTTTGAGCCTCATTTACAATAAATCAATAACGCTAAACCTCATAGCTATTATCTAAGCATCAGTGCATATTAGTTTATCGGCATTGATGTAAAGTAAAAAGGGATACCAACATATGAGCTGGAAAAAGTGTCTCATAGTAGTAGTAATTATTTCGGTTGCGTTTAAAAAATCCCTTGTACTTGAGTTGATGTCCGAATGGCAGAGCAGGAGGGTTGACATTACCAGAGTCGATTGCGGGATCTTCATACTGTGTGATGGGATGTTTGTGCAGGCTCCAACACGTGTGTCAGCCATTGTCATCCTAGCGATGTACGTCAAACAAAGCCTCAACAATCGGCAGGCGATTGCTTCCAATCAATGCACAACTAGACGAGCTGCATCACAAACGAACCACTGGCACTGTAATATGTGCTACGGTTGATTAAATAGGCCATTCCGTAGCAGGTAGTAGACGAGCTGCATCACAAACGAACCACTGGCACTGTAATATGTGCTACGGTTGATTAAATAGGCCGTTCCGTAGCAGTTAGTAGACTAGCCGCATCACAAACGAACCACTGGTACTGTAATATGTGCTACGGTTGATTAAATAGGCCGTTCCGTAGCAGTTAGTAGACGAGCCGCATCACAAACGAACCACTGTTACTGTAATATGTGCTACGGTTGATTAAATAGGCCGTTCCGTAGCAGGTAGTAGACGAGCCGCATTACAAACGAACCACTGCTACTGTAATATGTGATACGGTTGATTAAATAGGCCATTCCGTAGCAGGTAGTAGACGAGCCGCATTACAAACGAACCACTGCTACTGTAATATGTGCTACGGTTGATTAAATAGGCCATTCCGTAGCAGGTAGTAGACGAGTGTGTTTCATCAGTTATTTATTTGTCTAGTCATTAAATTGATAGTGTGTATGGTAAAAGTGGACGTAGTATGGACACACGAGTTACATAATGTAGTTTATTCCTCTTTGATAAGGTTGGGTTACAGATTTGTTGTTACTTGCGATTGTACTTGACGAAAACGTG